CAGTATTCCACGACAGGTCGGATCTGCGCCTTATAGATCATAAGCAGCTGACTGGAAGTGAAATAGCTCCTGGCCCGAAACAGAAAACCAAGTTTTTGGGATGCACTTTTAGCAATTGATCTTACGTGATTTTCCCAAGAAAGATTATTGCTGATAATAATACCAAGCATCGAAATGAATGTCTTCAAAGGTATGGTTACTCCTGACAAGCTTATGTTCGGCACAGTGATATCGGCTTTTCTAGAGAGAAGGCATGCTTTTGTTTTGTTTGCATTGAAATCTACCAAGTTATGGTAAGACAAAATATGATTGTAGTTTGTGGAGGAGTCAGTTTGGTTAAGTAGTCACTCCCAATTTAAAAATATTCGGTCTGATCTCCCGCAGCTTCTCTCCATCCAGGAATGCGGCTCTATTATGGAATCAAGTTCTACAAACACACGTATTAACACTCCGCAGAGAGCCCAGTCAATTTACATCTCTATATAACTAGTCAAATGTTTGCCCGCTTTTATGACTATTGGCCGTCCACTATTTTTTTCGAGATTTCTTCCTTCTTTCGATTTCACTCCGAGTAGCTAAAACCTCGGCTGAAACCTATGGGTCGTTGGTTTTATGGTTCTTGATACATGGAAATGCGTTTATTGGAATTATTTGAGTTTCGTTTTAATACTTTGTTGCTAACCGAGTTGCTAACCATATAGTTGAAAGCTGTTAAACTTAAAACTTACTTGGACGAATAAGTACTCCTTAATGGATTAGAAGAGGGATTTTTATAGTTATCCATGAAAATTGAACCAACATTCTGATTCATAACAGTTAATTTTTTTTTTGGATTTCAATGACTTTTCTTCGGGAACGCCTATGAGTTTTGGAATTTCCTTTCCTTATTTCCATAAATAAGAAGTAGGGATAAATCAGATGATTTGTCTCAAAATGTCCGAAAATGCCACTGCGTTTGAAGCTGTTTGAAGTTTCACTTTTAGAAAACATTTATAGAGGAGAAGATAATCAATTCAGACTATGGAGGTGACAACTTTCTTGAAAAATATTTGAAGAGAGAAAATAAAGGTATATTGAAAAATATTGAATTTCAATCATATTTGGTCGTTTCGGGAACTAATCTAGTCTTGATTACTCTACAACCAATAATATTCATTTTGTTCAAATTATATCATCCCTTCTTTATCAGGACTGTTTTTCCTTACAATTGAAGTTTATTTTCGTATTCGGCTAGCTCTGTTTGGGGGTGAGAGGGATGATATGAATAATGATCTGTGAACCCTGACATGTGGATTGGATTTAAATGAAAATCGAGTTCAAATCAACTCATTCGTTTGCATACTTCTAATTGAGCACATAAAAGTCATTTACTTCTTATTTTATAATATCTGATCTCATGATCGTAATTAAAATTTAATTCTATCTTTGAAAAAGGAACTATGAAAGTTTTATAGGTAATATACGCTCGTTAAGTTGAGTAACAAACACAAAAGGAAACTCTTTATTGATGGCTCACTATAGTCAAGATACTATTCTCATTAGCCGTTTGGTATTCAACTGCGGACACAAAAATAAACAAACTTCCTCTCTTTAACAACCTCCTTTCAAAATAAAAACGAAATTGATAACCGGAAACGGTCACTTTACACTTCACGATGAACCCCGAAACCGCCATCTATCCCCCAAAATGAAGCTATAACTCATGCAGAGCAATGACAATGTCGCCGAAGAATGGTAAAGAAGAATGCAGACCCGACTGACTGACAATGTACCCATCGTGACAAAAACCAGCCCAATCACGGTCAGGAGTGGAATAGAGGCGAAACGCTTATTGACAGCACAATCTGACTGATAAATGAGCGTACATGGACGTCGGTATGACTAGCAACAAAATCCGTCTTCATTCATTTTGATGCATGAGTCTTTGACGTTTACATAGTTTGGAGTCGTCTGTTATCGGTGTCTTTGCAGTGGCGGCTATTCCAACCGATAATGCTGAATTAGATTGAGGAAAGGGTGGTTGATTATGTTATATTTTGTTGAATGAAGCCAACATTTGGTTACATACATCAATTTATTCAACAAAAGGGAGAGACCTATGGAAAAGTACCTTCGACCAGATCGTTTTGAAGTCAATCCAATCTCCAGCTCAGTAGGTGAAGACTGGGCCCACTGGAAACGAACTTTCAAACATTTTTTGGATGCACGTAAGGAAACCTCGAAGGAAACAGAGAAGTTTTCTGATCGAATGTAAAGCCTCTTGCAACACGTCTTCCCACTGAGATATCTTCAAGCCTCTTGTTCAAACTGCCAACTCAATTGTTTTCCAGATAATTTCATGGTGCCGGCCGCTACCGTTCTGGTATAAGCGAGGGTATAAGCTTTCTTGCTTCTGCAGACTTTTGCGAAATGGCCACGTTTCAGGCAGTTTTTACAAGTCACATTAGCCGCGGGGCATTCAAACCTGGGATGTAGCTGATTTCCACAAAAATAACAGGAACGTGATTTAGATTCCAATCTAGCCGTTGCTGTAAGATTCTCTGAGTGACGAGGAGCAAGATTCTCCGAGTGACGAGGTTGGTCATTAGTTTCTATTGACAGAGCGTTCACTGTAGAATTAGGCATCAGAAATCTATCGGAATGGATTGGCTTGATTGTATGCTTCTTCCAACTCGAGCGTAGTATTTTCCAATAGCCGTTGTCTTATTATGGACAAATAGAGAGACAGAATGGAATTATCTGGAAAACAATTGAGTTGGCTGTTCTAACAAGAGGCTTGAAGACATCTCAGTGGGAAGACGTGTTGCAAGAGGCTTTACATTCGATCAGATCACTTCTATGTACTTCGACCAATACAACAGCACATGAACGAATGTTTTATCATAATCGAAAATCATCTAATGGATATTCTGTACCTTCATGGTTGATGACTCCTGAACCTGTACTCATGAGAAGACAAGTTCGACGAAATAAGTACGAACCTCTCGTTGATGAAGTTGAGCTATTGGAAGGGAACCCAGACTACTCATACGTCAGGCTACCCGATGGACGAGAAACTACGGTCTCGAACAAACATCTTGCTCCTACAGGAAATCATGATGATACCGAGCATCTGGATGCTCCAATAGAGCGAGATTCAGTTGAACAAAATACCGTGGAAGAGCAGTTCACATGTCCTGATATAGAAGATTCACCTACTATACATGAACGATCTATATCAGAAAGAGGAGAATCATCTGCTTCGCATTCAAATGAACCGAGAAATGAACCCATGAACCGGTGTTCTGGTGTTCTGGTAGAATAAGACAATCTTCTAGATATCTGGATAATTACTGTCGTTTTTAATACTAAGGGTGAATGTGGTATTCAATCACTTAGTATGTTCTTATTTACATGACAGTGTCACTATCTGTCGCATTAATTAATGCATTTGTCACTGTTGATTATGTTATATTTTGTTGAAAAAAGCCAACATTTGGTTACATACATCAATATAAATACTGGCCCTTCTTGTCTACGACTTCATTTTAGAATATTTTGTTAAGTTCCAGTTATAAAAAATGTTGTTGAATTAACTTTATCATAATCATTTTTGCTGTGGACATTTTTCATTTCTGATAATGGGGGAAGATCGGGTATTTTCATAAAAATCGTTGCTCCGATCTATGGTCCACACGGGTTCTTTTTTTCAGGAAATTATCCAGGCAACCTTGTTTTGTTGTTGTAAACACACGACACATACGACCTTAGTTGTCCTGATCGATATTTCAATATAAATGTGATTTCTCCTCGGATTTCTCAATCATGGTGTTGATGGTAGATGTATGTAGAAGAGGATTCTTGCATCTGATGCATTCAAAACAACAGGAGATGAAGAATTCTGGCTTTCAAGCTGTTGTCACACAAACCTTACTGATATCGATTAATCCTCTAGCAGATGATACATTTCGAACAACTAAGGAAACCAAAGCGTTATGTGATTTCTAGCTTCTGAAGGCTTATCAGAACATTATAGGGATTCCCTTTCGTGCGCTCCAATCGATAAAAAAAAAACAAAGTATCATCAAATAGGAATATTTCTTATGGAAGCTTCTGCATTTGAAATAATCAAGGGAACCAAAACCTTATCTGATTTCTAACTGCTGAAGGGTTATCAGAACATCCAGAGCAGATACTGTAGTATCAAGTAGGAATATTTGCACTAGAAGCTGTTCAATTTGGAGATAGATTTGGAACAACTAAGGTTGGTTCCGCTATGTGATTTTCAGCTTCTGAAGGGTAAATAGAACAACCAGAGCATAATACTGTAATATCATCAAGTAGGAATTTTACTCTAGAAGCTGTTTCATTTTTAACAACTTAGGGAACCAGAGCGTCCTGTGATTTCTAGCTTCTGAAGGGTTAATAGTTGATAGAACATCCACAGCATATACTGTAGTATCATGAAGTAGGAATACTTGCTCTAGAAGCTTGATGTAGGAATACTTGCTCTAGAAGCTGTTCTGTTGGGAACAATTAAGGACACCAAAGCGTTATGTGATTTCTAGCTTGTGTAGGGTTATTAGAACATCCAAAGCGATACAGAGTAGGAATATTTGCTCTAGAAGCTATTGCATTTGAAACGACTAAGGTAACCAAAGCGTTATGTGATTTATCTAGCATCTGTTGGCTTATTAGAACATCCAGAGCGATCCAGAGCACCATACTGAAGTATCATCAAGTCGGAATGTTTGCTCTAGAAGCTGTTCGGTTTGGAAGAACTAAGGGAACCATAGCGTTATGTGATATCTAGCTTCTCTAGGGTTATTAGATCATCCAAAGTGATCCAGTGCATATACTGAAGTATCATCGAGCAGGAATGTCTGCTCTAGAAGCTGTTCTGTTTGGAACAACTGAGGGAACCAGAGCGTTATGTGATTTCTAGCTTCTGTAGGGTTCTTAGAACATCCAGAGCAGATGGTACTATCATGTAGGAATATTTGAGGCACAGCAGAACTCACCTTGACGGCGCAGGAGGATGAAAAGCCCCACCAGGAGGCTGCATCCTGTGGTCCCACACGTATCTTCCGTCATGAGTTCTCTGATCCACCGGCAAAGGAGCATGAAAAGCCGCGAAAGCCGAGGGAAACTGCATCGGAAGACCTGCCGACATCGCGGCCTGGAAATCCGCCTCCTTTTCGGGCATACTACCACATCACATCACCCAGTCACTGGACACCGAATCCGGTTGACTTGCAGGCCGAACCCGACCAAAACCATACCAATGACATAATGCGACACTAACATGCACTCGACTCGGTCTGCATTGAACTAAACATGAACACTAACTAGCGGAGCGGGAGAGGCGATCTCTTTCGGTTGACAGGCAGGCCTTACAACTCAACTAACGAGTGTGGGAGAGGGGAGGAGGAGGGGTGGGGAGGGGCCTAGCTGGCTCTCGCAGCACCGGCCGATGTGTCGTGAGGAGGGACCGTAGTCGCATTCTCTGTTCTCTGTTAGTTGATCTCTTATTAAACCAGCGGCGGGTATCAGGGTGGGGATATAGCGTTCGTGTTTTTACTTTGAAATAGCTAAATTTTTTATCTCTTGAAGTGCAGCACGAAATAGAATCGAAGAACGTCGTGCGTACCTTTTTTTATGTTCTGGTTCCCACGAAAAGGGATATCTTGTAATGTTCAGAGAAAATCGTGGGAACCAAGGGAAATAGGTGAGGAATTGGTGTTCTATTCCATAGCCTCACTGTTCGTTAGATGAACGAGTCTTTGGAAAGAGATGTTCTGCAGGTCTCCAAAGTGACCACGAAGGGGTGCGAAGCCTCAACTCGATGGGTTAATCTCGCGGGGACTACCAAGGGAGGAACAATTGTTGATATTTCAGAAGAGCATCGTCCATGAAAATATCATTGAAATAGAGCCAGATCGCCAACTTTTCTACGGTGTTCCAGAGAAGTGAGTGAGTTTGTGAGCGATGTATCACCCACGAGACGAATTGCCCTTTTTTGCACAGAATCCAACAGTTTCAGGGTATGTTTGGGTGCTGCACTCCAAATATGAGAACAGTATTCCAGGACAGGACGGGTCTTTGCCTTATCGATCATAAGCAGCTGACTGGAAGTGAAATAGCTCCTGGCCCGAAACAGAAAACCAAGTTTTTGGGATACACTTTTAGCAATAATTGATCTCACGTGATTTTCCCAAGAAAGGTTATTGCTGATAGTAATACCAAGCATCGGAATGGATGTCTTCAAAGGTATGGTTACTCCTGACAAGCTCATGTTGGGCACAGTGAGATCGGTTTTTCTAGAGAAAAGAAGGATATACTTGAGTCGGCACTATTGCTGACTCGGTTATTATTGGAGTTTAAAAATCGGACGTGACAACATTGCACACGAGTTGTGGGCGGTGCCTTGTCAGTTCTCAGCATTCAGCACAATGTTGCCAAGTCTTCAACATTAACATGATATTTATTATGAAGTATAAGAAATATTTGAACATGCTAATGGTTGTTGTTAGAAAAAGTCGAGAATGAACTACAAAAACAATGGGTTCCTCCTATTATGCTTTATTCAACAACAGGACTCTTACATCTTGTTAATATCTTGAATATAATTGGTGACTTGAAAACCTTGCTTGGTGAGTAGGAATAGAAGATTATCTAACCAATAACTATCATTTATTAGATGTATCGTCATAATGACGGCCACGAGGGTACGTTTGAAATGAGCTCAGATATTCAACAATTTCGAACAAGTCATGTCAATTTTAATGTCCATACAACACATTTTCTCTGCCTAGGCAGTAAAAGTACACCTTTCCTGCCTGTCATTAAAAAGCCACTTTTAATGTCATTTGGAGAAAAATTACTTTTCGTTTTTGGTTTTGTTGATAATACTATTTGGTCAGTTTTCAGTTAGATAACGTATTTACTATAGGTATTTTTTTCCTAGTGTCGTCGTATTAAGTATATATTTACACTATATGGTGTATATTATAGCCCATCCTTCTTTTCGGGAGAAAGAAATGAACCCATCAATATCAGGTTCGAGGAATTCCTGACCGTGTCGTGATAGCTGTTATTTTTCTAACCAGATGTTTGATGACGCCTTGTTATTATTTGAAACACACTAACAAAAAACGTTAATTTACGAAATTATAAGCGGTGCCTCGGAAGAGCCCGTGGTAGCCTCACTAGTAGCCTCGTCCTTTTCTCGCACGAGGGGCATCGTCTGTTTCTCTCTTTTTCCTTTTGATGAAGTTATCGAGATGAATCTTCTACTCGAGATGTCAGCGTCGCATCTTTGGATATTTCCATGGGGTGCTCAGAAAAATGGTTTGCATAGGTCACTTTTTTATTTATTCAGATTTTATTTATTTATTTGTGTTCGATGTTTGATTGCAGTGGCCTGTATTTCGATAGTAGTTTGATGAATGTGTGGATAATAGAAATTGTAAATCGAATTGCATGCAGTTTTTCTTGATTTTATTTTCGGTTTCAAATGTGAAATTGCCGGCAAAATTTGCAAATCTTGTTGATTGGCCTCTAGTTGAGCTTTAGTTGCCTTGTATTTTATGATTAATTCATCTATGTCTGTCATTGTGACAGACTATTTGAATGATATTGTGAATTGAATATTGTTCGGAATATGGAAGTTAGCTTGAGAAGGAAATAAGTAGGTACGATTATTATTGAACAGTAATTTCAAATTGCATTATCGAATTTTATACAGGGTGTTACAAACTCGTGGCTAAGCATGGATATATCGGTAACCTTCAGAGATACAGAGTAGAGAGGAATTAGAGCAAAGTTGCACCATTTTATGTCCAAAAAAATGCTGCTTTGAAATTGGAAAGATAAGGAGAAGATGCCAGATCCTTTTCTTCATCACTGAGTTTATCTGAAGAGATATTTCAAATTGAATATCATTATATCATTGCCACCTTTTCTCCTCTACGAAATGGAATTGTCAAATTGGAGATTAGACGTTTCTTTTTCGAGCGGTCATCATCAACTTTATTTTTTCAAATACGGACCTGGATTTTTTATTTCATTTTTCAATAGTTTTCGACCTCGTTGAATTGATAGTGTATCTAATACTACTCAACACATTATTAAGTGCAAAGTACCTTCTACATACTTGAATAGCTCTTATTCTAAATGCATTATTACTTATATACGAGACCAAAAATGATAATTACGCAATTGTATATTATTAGATGAAATATATTGGGAGAGGAGGTGGATATTAGATTTTTTTTAAACATTTACCAAGATAGATTTTTTGCAGCCGATATGTCAAAATTGTATGCATTAAAGTTGCTTGCAATAAATAAAAAAAATTTCGTATCCTAAATTTGGTATAGGAGCCTTGAAATTGATTCAAAACACTTTCTCATCTGACAGTTTCTGATCGAATGAAAAAGTAGCTTTTTTGGAACTGTTCAACTTTCTTTATGAACATTTCAAAAAATTCAATCAAGTGGGTCAGTCACATAATCATCTGAGTCCATCAATTCCATCATGATAATATTTGGTTCATTGAGGTTCATCTTCTCGTTTTCCATTCGAAGAGTGTGAAAACCATTTAATTAAATGAAGTATTTTAAAACACCACATTTATTTTTCCCATAATTATTTGATTCTATATAGTGTAGAAACACCATATAACTTTTTTTTTCGGTGACTGTTTCCAATCATAGTGGGTGTTTATTTCGACTGTTATTTGGAACCTCCTGTTCTTTATTGTCTCATTTAAATTCTCCCAGAGCGATAAAAAACCGAAACGACGATCGATATAATTCCACCCGGGCCATCCGAAAACACACTCACGAAGAAACCGAGGCAAGAAAGAAAGAAGAAGAAGAAGAAGAAGCGCATCTTCTCAGTGTTTGACCTCTACACCGTGTTAAAAAAAAGACGGTGGCAGCGGCGGGCCAGGAACACAGCCCAGGTGAAAAAATGATTCATCTTTGCGAACCATTTTTATGACCCCTGTATACAGAGAAGTGCACAACCCTTTTTCTTCTATCACTTCCAGTTTCACCGGAAACTTTTGAATTTCAAATGGGACACCCTGTATTGTATTACATAATCAGTTAGGGATTATCATGACGAATTCAACGATACCGGGTTTGATAGGGTTATTTCAAACGATTACAAAGATATTTGAGTTCGAAGTTTCCATATGCTCATGGGTGTGACTTCGCAATATCAAAACTTCTTTCTCTGTCTAAAAAATTAATCTGATGAAAACATGGTCAAATCTATCAATTTCAATTTTCAGCAATGTTTGTGTTCAAACCTATCCTACTGGAAATAAAAGTTAGCTTTCGTAAACTATTATTCATTGAATTAAGTGGAAGTGTAATTTTGTAAGAATTATTTTAGGGAAATAAGGTGTTCTTCTTAAATTTCTGGAGGTTATATGCCTCGGGAAACACCTCCTTTGGCAATGTGTTCCAGAGCCTTGCTGTTCGTTGGATGAACGGGTCTTTGGAAAGAGATGTTCTGCAGGTCTCCAAAGTGACCACGAAGGGGTGCGAAGCCTCTACTCGACGAGTTAATCTCACAGGGACTGCCAATGGAGGAACAATTGTTGATATTTCAGAAGAGCATCGTCCATGGAAATATCTATAAAATAGGGCCAGGTCTACGTCTACGGTGTGCCAGAGAAGTGAGTGAGTTTGTGAGCGAGGCATCACCCACGAGACGAATTGTCCTTTTTTGGACAGAATCCAACAGTTTCAGGGTAAGTTTGGGTGCTGCACTCCAAATATGGGAACAGTATTCCAGGACAGGTCGGATCTGTGCCTTATAGATCATAAGCAGCTGACTGGAAGTGAAATAGCTTCTGGCCCGAAACAGAAAACCAAGTTTTTGCGACGCACTTTTAGCAATTGACCTCACGTGATTTTCGCAAGAAAGGTTATTGCTGATAGTAATACCAAGCATCGAAATGGATGTCTTCAAAGGTATGGTTATTCCTGACAGGCTTATGTTGAGCACAGTGAGATCGGCTTTTCTAGAGAAAAGGCATGCTCGTGTTTTGTTTGCATTGAAATCTACCAATTTATTGGATCCCCATTCGAGAAGTCCATATTCATGTCACCATTTCTTTCTCGTTCGTTTCTGATGTGCCTGACTGGTATTGGAGCCCTGGAAGAGAAGGCGGTGTTGAGGGTACTATCA